TTTTCACTGACACTGATAAAACATTTATATTAGAGTGTTTTTGAATATTTATGATGAAATAAGAAATATTGGATGCATTTTAGCTGATATTTATACCCACTGAAAACGCATGACATTGATCTGCTGAAAGAGAATTCGGCAAACAGGCATGGGACTTCAGCAGAGCGGATGGAAATTACAAGAGCTCTGTAAAATGTATGGGAGCTAACTACTAAATGACATAACACATTTTATTGGATAGTTATATTATGGTTGCTCACACAGTCAGCTGGCGCACACGTGATAATAAAATAAATACGATATTTACTATATGGGGGCCGCCATCTTGAATGACGCATAAAACTAAATAAGAGACAAGTTGTGAAACGCGTTTTTCAGATTCCTACAAATCAGGACAAAAATACCAATCTTTCACAAAAATACGGTCCGTTGGGGTTATATTAAGCCAATCGATAACAAAATTCGGCCGTCGACTGAAAGTGTGCAAATAACAGAAAAGCCCCCCCCCCCCCCAGCAATTCAATAAAATGAAAAGTCCCAAATTCAACGGTCAAAAAACAAAATACTAGATTCCAACTGAAAAAAAATATCAGAAATTCACTTGGCTATTATTAGCCACGAACCGCATCGGTATATCTACCGAGTTGTCTTACTCCGACTCATCACTGACAAAGAATATAATTATAAAAACAAATTTATATCTTGGTTCCAACAATGCATGCGACAACAACCACATGAACCAGTAATTTATAAATTGTGATAACATTTAATTTTGTATTAACAGATATCATTTTTGATTGGCGGACTGTTTCACCCCTGTTACACAAGCACATCATTTTGTACAACTGTGTTTTTAACTATAGTATAATTTCAAAACACAGATTGTTTGCAAGCACCCACCCATTACATAGTTTTGTTAAATTGATACGTCATTTCAAATAGACGTGGTTTATGTTGCAATTGTGCATACCGGTAAAGTGCAATACACTGGGATACTTGAATGGTCTGATGTACAAATACCAGTTGCCCAATTTATAAAAAATAACACGAACCTTAGACAGCAACATCTTCTGGCAAATTAACATAAATACTTTTCTCCTTTAATACGTTTTTTTTTCTCATTTCCATCTTTCATTGATTTACTGTTTATTGCTTTTTTTATTATTATTATTTCATCTATTTTTTTTTCCAATATTATTACCAACATTTATTAATAGTTTTTTGTAATTGTAGTCTATTGATTTATTTTTTAAACCATTGTTGTGCTTTAGACAGTAATTCTTGTAAAATTTGTATGTTTTATATATGTGTTATAGCAGTTAGTGTAACCATTTTAATTCCTTCTGAGGAATTTTAAGTGTTTCAATAAACCATATATACAAACATCATGTATGTTCATAAACATGTGTATACAACAACAAATCCTAGCGGTGTGATGTGCAGAATACTGAATACTGTCGTCTTTTACGCCTGAATTTTCGGAGAATTTTTCTTTTGAATGTTTTTTTAGAAAACTGAAGGATATTTAAATTTTGTAATGAATCGAATAATGGGATTTGAGACAGGATATTCTCTAAATGTGTTTCACTTTACTTTTTAAAGAGGTTAACACTTGTGTATGGTCTTTAAGTTAGGAAATATGATTAACAATCACATGTCTTTTCTAGAATAGAAAAACAAAACTTTAGAACTTCTTACGAGGACTTTGTCGCAAGTCTGGGGGTCCGAGTTATGAGTAAAAACAACTGTTTGTTAGAAAACGCCATGTGAGGGCGCAATTTATTTGGAAGCGG